GGACGTAAGAGCAACACACGCTGTAATCTCCAAAAGTTCTTCACCGATTGCTTTGAAATTTTGACACAATGTTGCATTCGAATAGGCGCGTCTTTTTATATACCTACTATATAGATGCCACCCCTGTGACAGGTAAAAACATGCGTTTTTGAAAAACAGGGCCATCTGTTGCACATAATGGCAACATGCACGCTATACTAAATATATCACGAATTCCATTTCAATGTTTCCGATTGCATTGATAAATTTTATTTTCATAGATTTCGATTTATTTTATTTTTTAGTGAATTATTTTGTGTGACATTGTGTTGGAATTGAGCTGTGTTGTTTACCATACCGTTCATTTCGTAAGTATAAGTATAGATGCCACACCTGTGACAGGTAAAACTATGCTTTTCTTGAAAAACAGCGCCATCTGTTGCATGTAAGAGCAACACACATGCTATACTAGATATGTTACAATTCCATTTCAATGTTTCTGATTGCATTGATAAATTTAATTTTCATAGATTTTGATTTATTTTCATTTTGATTTAATTATTTTGTGTGAATTGCGTTGGAATTGAGCTGTGTTGTTTACCATACCGTTCATTTCGTGAGTATAGTTTATTTTTATATTTTTTTCATATTTTCATTTCATTTTTAACTGTTTTTCTTATATTTCAGTGATGGGAACATCAGATCACTTGATGTTCCCAATTTTCTGATGGGAACATCAGACCATTTGGGAAGGCATCGGACGAGGGAGTGGGGAATGGTGGGGATGACGAGGGGACGGAAGTGAGAGATGGTGGGGAGGACGAGGGGACAAGGGAGGGGGGTAAGGTGGGGGAAGGACGAGGGGGGGGAGTTTGGAATGGTGGGGACGAGGGGATGGAGGGACTGGAGAATGGTGTGGAGGACAAAGGGACAAGGGAGTGTGAAATGGTGGGAAGGAAGAGGGAATGGTAGGGAGGACTGGGGGACAGGGAAGGTTGCTGAGGCTCAGCAACGCGTGGCTGGGTACTGCTAGTTTAAAATAAATTAAAACAAATACAGTTTAAATCAAATTACTAAATCACTGGTAAGTTTTTCCACATACAGATCACATGACCTGTCCATCGATTCAACAAGATTCAACACCGATCTTGTAATTGCATTTTACCTGTATCTTTGTTCAGCCTCATATCGAATCACAGCAAAATGCTCAGCTAGTTTTTAATTGTGTAATCAATACATTCCACGTCGTTAAGAGTAGGATTTTTAGAGGGAAAGCGGTTTTGTTTTAAGGTTAATCTCAGGTATATAATATAATTTCAGCTCACTATAGAAACAAAGGTTTAATTTTCAAAGCAAAACTAGCCTATCTTCTCTGTAACATCTAAACTATCATTACTGTTTTAACAGTCAATGGTGGCGTAGTGGTAACATACTTGTTTCGCACCTCGCGAGCGTTTTAGTCCTGGGTTCGAGTTCTGGCCAGTGAGGATAAATTAAACGCCATTCTTTAACCGTTTGCTTGTTCACCCAGCAGTAATTGGAAGCCTGGTTGTTGACCAACTGGTCAACAACCAGGCTTAACAACAACGGGTCGTGTTCCAGGGTAAACTAGTGGGTAAATCTTACCATGAGCTATGAGAAGGGAAAGCTCTCAACCTATTAACAGAAGTCACAAGCCGTCTGTTCCTGTAATCACCTGTGCAATAAATATATAAATAGATAAATAAACAACAAAACTACCTGATCACTTTCTCTCCTGGAGCCTGGAGAACGATCACTTTCCCTCTTAGGATACTAGAGAACAATCACTTTCCCAATTGTAACATGGGAGAGTGATTACTTTCCCTAAAGCGACATGGGAGAATGATCACTTCCTCTTAGGACCAGGAGAACATTACTTTCCCTCTTGGAACATGGGAGTGATCACTTCCTCTTGGGACCAAAAGAATGATCACTTTCCCTCTTAGAATATAGGCGAGCGATCACTTTCCAACAAGGGACATGGGAAAACTATTACTTTCCCTCCTGAGACTTGGGAGAGCAGTTAATTTCTCTCTTGGGATATGGGAGAATAATTATATTCCCTCATTTGCCATGGGAGAACGATGACTTTCCCTCTTGGGACATGGGAGAATGATTACCTTCCCTCCTGGGAAAGTTAAATGATTACGTTCCCTCCTGGTACATGGGAGAACAATTACTTTCTATCCTAAGACATAGGAGAACGATTACTTCCCCCTACTGGGACATGGGAGAATGATTATTTTCCCTCCTGGGACATAGGAGACCGATTACTTTCGCCTACTGGGAAATGTGAGACCGATTGCTTTCTCTCATGAGACACAAAAGAGCAATCACTTTCCCTCGACGGATATGGGAGAGTGATCACTTTCTCTCAAGGGACATGAGAGAACGATCACTTGCCCACTTAGGATACGGGAGAGTGATCACGTTCTCCCCTGGGAACATGGTAGAATAATTACTTTCCCTTGTGAGAAATAAGTTAATAATTACTTTCCCTCCTGGGACTTTGGAGGATGAATATTGTCCCTTCTGGGACATAGGGGAACGATTGTGTTCTCTCCTGGGATACATGAGAGCAAACACTTTCCATCAAGGGACATGGGAGAAGGATCACTTTCCCCTCCTAGGACATGTGAGAATGATGTCCTTTTCCTCCTAGGACATGGAAGAACGGTCCATTTTTATCATGGGACTGGAAGTGCAATCGCTTTCTCCCTTAGGACATGGGAGAACGATCACTTTTTCTCAAGAGCATGGACACAGGAGACTGATCACTTCCCCTCCAGGGCTAAGGGAGAACGATCACTTTCCCTGCAGGGACATGGGAGAACGATCAATTTCCCTCAAGGGGCACATAAGAACGATCACTTTCCCTCCATGAATATAGAAGAACGATCACTTTTCCACCATGGACGTGGGAGAACGATCACTTTCCCTCGAGGTATACAGAAGAACAATCACTTTCCCTTGAGGTATACAGAAGAACGATCACTTTCCCTCGAGGTATACAGAAGAACGATCACTTTCCCTCGAGGTATACAGAAGAACGATCACTTTCCCTCGAGGTATACAGAAGAACGGTCACTTTCCCTCGAGGTATGAAGAAGAACGGTCACTTTCCCTCGAGGTATACAGAAGAACGATCACTTTCCCTCGAGGTATACAGAAGAACGATCACTTTCCCTCGAGGTATACAGAAGAACGATCACTTTCCCTCGAGGTATACAGAAGAACGGTCACTTTCCCTCGAGGTATACAGAAGAACGATCACTTTCCCTCGAGGTATACAGAAGAACGATCACTTTCCCTCGAGGTATACAGAAGAACGGTCACTTTCCCTCGAGGTATACAGAAGAACGATCACTTTCCCTTGAGGTATACAGAAGAACGGTCACTTTCCCTCGAGGTATACAGAAGAACGATCACTTTCTCTCCAGGATACACACAACAGTTTTACCACGTTAAGACACGGGGAACAGCAGCCGGTAAAATTAATTGCAGCTCTCCTCTCCATTTCTTGGGATCAATTATTTGGAATCCATTTGTACTCGAGGCAAGATTGTTGCACTAAATATTTTCTTTGGAACGTCAGGAGGGAGAGTAATGGTTTGACCGGCAGAGTTTCTACCTGAAAATGATACCATGTTTATTTTTTCATTTTTTTTTTAAGATTTATGTGTATGTGTTTATGAATTATGAGTAAGTAAAGACATATTTTTCATTTATGTTCTATTGTTATGTTGAGTGCTAAAGTTTCGCTTGTGTTCAGACTTTCAAAATACATCAACTCCAGTCTGTGGTGTCCATAGTGGTGTTAGTGCTTCATCAACTCCAGTCTGTGGTGTCTATAGTGGTGTTAGTGCTTCATCAACTCCAGTCTGTGGTGCCCATAGTGGTGTTAGTGCTTCATCAACTCCAGTCTGTGGTGCCCATAGTGGTGTTAGTGCTTCATCAACTCCAGTCTGTGGTGTCTATAGTGGTGTTAGTGCTTCATCAACTCCAGTCTGTGGTGTCCATAGTGGTGTTAGTGCTTCATCAACTCCAGTCTGTGGTGTCTATAGTGGTGTTAGTGCTTCATCAACTCCAGTCTGTGGTGTCTATAGTGGTGTTAGTGCTTCATCAACTCCAGTCTGTGGTGTCTATAGTGGTGTTAGTGCTTCATCAACTCCAGTCTGTGGTGTCAATAGTGGTGTTAGTGCTTCATCAACTCCAGTCTGTGGTGTCAATAGTGGTGTTAGTGCTTCATCAACTCCAGTCTGTGGTGTCTATAGTGGTGTTAGTGCTTCATCAACTCCAGTCTGTGGTGTCCATAGTGGTGTTGGTGCTTCATCAACTCCAGTCTGTGGTGTCCATAGTGGTGTTGGTGCTTCATCAACTCCAGTCTGTGGTGTCCATAGTGGTGTTAGTGCTTCATCAACTCCAGTCTGTGGTGTCAATAGTGGTGTTAGTGCTTCATCAACTCCAGTCTGTGGTGTCTATAGTGGTGTTAGTGCTTCATCAACTCCAGTCTGTGGTGTCCATAGTGGTGTTAGTGCTTCATCAACTCCAGTCTGTGGTGTCTATAGTGGTGTTAGTGCTTCATCAACTCCAGTCTGTGGTGCCCATAGTGGTGTTAGTGCTTCATCAACTCCAGTCTGTGGTGCCCATAGTGGTGTTAGTGCTTCATCAACTCCAGTCTGTGGTGCCCATAGTGGTGTTAGTGCTTCATCAACTCCAGTCTGTGGTGCCCATAGTGGTGTTGGTGCTTCATCAACTCCAGTCTGTGGTGTCCATAGTGGTGTTGGTGCTTCATCAACTCCAGTCTGTGGTGTCCATAGTGGTGTTAGTGCTTCATCAACTCCAGTCTGTGGTGTCTATAGTGGTGTTAGTGCTTCATCAACGCGCTTCTTATTACACAGTCGGAAATTTTATTACAGATATTGTAAGTTGTATGAAAGAGTTCAGAATAATGTGGAGTTCGCTGGATTGATAGTGTCAGAAAGTCTTTTGTTGTCTTGTTATTGGTCTGGCGACTGTGAGAGTACATGGGTCTGGCGACTGTGGGAGTACATGGGTCTGGCGACTGTGGGAGTACATGGGTCTGGCGACTGTGGGAGTGCATGGGTCTGGCGACTGTGAGAGTACATGGGTCTGGCGACTGTGGGAGTACATGGGTCTGGCGACTGTGGGAGTGCATGGGTCTGGCGACTGTGGGAGTACATGGGTCTGGCGACTGTGGGAGTACATGGGTCTGGCGACTGTGGGAGTACATGGGTCTGGCAACTGTGGGAGTACATGGGTCTGGCGACTGTGGGAGTGCATGGGTCTGGCGACTGTGAGAGTACATGGGTCTGGCGACTGTGAGAGTACATGGGTCTGGCGACTGTGGGAGTGCATGGGTCTGGCGACTGTGGGAGTGCATGGGTCTGGCGACTGTGAGAGTACATGGGTCTGGCGACTGTGGGAGTGCATGGGTCTGGCGACTGTGGGAGTACATGGGTCTGGCGACTGTGGGAGTACATGAGTCTGGCGACTGTGGGAGTACATGGGTCTGGCGACTGTGGGAGTACACGGGTCTGGCGACTGTGAGAGTACATGGGTCTGGCGACTGTGGGAGTACATGGGTCTGGCGACTGTGAGAGTACATGGGTCTGGCGACTGTGAGAGTGCATGGGTCTGGCGACTGTGGGAGTACATGGGTCTGGCGACTGTGGGAGTGCATGGGTCTGGCGACTGTGGGAGTACATGGGTCTGGCGACTGTGGGAGTACATGGGTCTGGCGACTGTGGGAGTACATGGGTCTGGCGACTGTGAGAGTACATGGGTCTGGCGACTGTGGGAGTGCATGGGTCTGGCGACTGTGAGAGTACATGGGTCTGGCGACTGTGGGAGTACATGGGTCTGGCGACTGTGAGAGTACATGGGTCTGGCGACTGTGGGAGTGCATGGGTCTGGCGACTGTGGGAGTACATGGGTCTGGCGACTGTGAGAGTACATGGGTCTGGCGACTGTGGGAGTACATGGGTCTGGCGACTGTGGGAGTACATGGGTCTGGCGACTGTGAGAGTACATGGGTCTGGCGACTGTGGGAGTACATGGGTCTGGCGACTGTGGGAGTACATGGGTCTGGCGACTGTGGGAGTACATGGGTCTGGCACATGTGGGAGTACATGGGTCTGGCGACTGTGGGAGTACATTGGTCTGGCGACTGTGAGAGTACATATGGGTCTGGCGACTGTGGGAGTGCATGGGTCTGGCGACTGTGAGAGTACATGGGTCTGGCGACTGTGGGAGTACATGGGTCTGGTGACTGTGAGAGTACATGGGTCTGGCGACTGTGGGAGTACATGGGTCTGGCGACTTTGGGAGTACATGGGTCTGGCGACTGTGGGAGTACATGGGTCTGGCGATTGTGAGAGTACATGGATCTGGCGACTGTGAGAGTACATGGGTCTGGCGACTGTGGGAGTACATGGGTCTGGCGACTGTGGGAGTACATGGGTCTGGCGACTGTGGGAGTACATGGGTCTGGCGACTGTGGGAGTACATGGGTCTGGCGACTGTGGGAGTACATGGGTTTGGCACATGTGGGAGTACATGGGTCTGGCGACTGTGGGAGTACACGGGTCTGGCAACTGTGGGAGTACATGGGTCTGGCACATGTGGGAGTACATGGGTCTGGCGACTGTGGGAGTACATGGGTCTGGCGACTGTGGGAGTACATGGGTCTGGCGACTGTGGGAGCACATGGGTCTGGCGACTGTGGGAGTACATGGGTCTGGCCACTGTGGGAGTACATGGGTCTGGCGACTGTGGGAGTGCACGGGTCTGGCGACTGTGGGAGTACATGGGTCTGGCGACTGTGGGAGTACACGGGTCTGGCGACTGTGGGAGTACACGGGTCTGGCGACTGTGAGAGTACATGGGTCTGGCGACTGTGAGAGTACATGGGTCTGGCGACTGTGTGAGTACATGGGTCTGCCGACTGTGGGAGTACATGGGTCTGGCGACTGTGGGAGTACATGGGTCTGGCGACTGTGAGAGTACATGGGTCTGGCGACTGTGAGAGTACATGGGTCTGGCGACTGTGAGAGTACATGGGTCTGGCGACTGTGAGAGTACATGGGTCTGGCGACTGTGGGAGTACATGGGTCTGGCGACTGTGGGAGTACATGGGTCTGGCGACTGTGAGAGTACATGGGTCTGGCGACTGTGAGAGTACATGGGTCTGGCGACTGTGAGAGTACATGGGTCTGGCGACTGTGAGAGTACATGGGTCTGGCGACTGTGGGAGTACATGGGTGTGGCGACTGTGAGAGTACATGGGTCTGGCGACTGTGAGAGTACATGGGTCTGGCGACTGTGGGAGTACATGGGTCTGGCGACTGTGGGAGTGCATGGGTCTGGCGACTGTGGGAGTACATGGGTCTGGCGACTGTGGGAGTACATGGGTCTGGCGACTGTGGGAGTACATGGGTCTGGCGACTGTGAGAGTACATGGGTCTGGCGACTGTGGGA